GCTGTTACTCTGTCCAAGGGAACATATAGCCATTCCCTTGTCCTGGATCTCAGCTTTTCACTTGTTAGCAGGTTAAGTGCCCCTTGTGGAACTTCACAGGGCATGCCTGGGTGCCTTTCTGCTAGGAGGAGTCTCTTCCCATCTTCGTTTGCTGTGATTCATTGTTTTCCTTTAGTAGTAGTAGTGGTAGTGTTAGTTTTGTGCATTGAATTCTGTTTCACAGCCATGATCTGTTCTCTCCCCATCTGCAGTTCCTTCAGTTCCTGACTTGGACAGTCAAAGTTTGCAAAGAAAATGCTCTTGGTAAGTAAGCTTGGGGGAGCATGTTTCAATGTGATGTGTTGGGTATTAGACCCTTAGATGCTCTGCTATTGCCTGTCCTGTTTTTACCTCTTTCTTACAGATACATTCAGGTCTCATTCTGTGGCAGACTGCTATGACATTGTGGTTATTAGCACAAGTATTGAGGAAGAAACTCTATAATCTCTATAAATAGTGTTGCTGAAGAAAGAGAAGCAACTTTCTTGAGTTTTCTCTGTTATTTAGCACTTCTGTTGCTCAAATCGACACATTTATACTCTGGAAAGATACTACTCTTGCCAGAGTTTGTATTGTGCTTCTGGTCATCATTTTTCTATGAGCTGAGGGTTCCAGTGTGCCATACTTCCCCTTGCAGTGTTATATGGGATGCCCAATGTTGTAAACTGTGCTTTTGTAATTATGGTGTTTTGGTGGGATTTTCACCTCCTGTATGTTGTTTCTGGGAACTGTTAAATTCACAGTGAATCCGTGGTGTTCCCTCACTGGATGTCTGATGTTCCCAGCTAGCTAGGGGACCTCTGCACCTGGTAATGGGCTGTGTTCCCTTCCCCACAGAGGATATCTCTTGCTGCAAGGGTTTGCTGTCTCTGCTCTTCAGCCTCCATGTTCAGTACAAGAGTCCTGTTGGTCTGCTGCGTGAGCTTGCACAAGACATCCATGCTTGCCTGGGAGACATAGATCAGGTATGACGCAGAAGCAGCCTGACTCCTCATCACTCAGTGCTGTCAGGGCCGAACTGAGTGCATCTCTGGTGCAAACTGTGTGACACCAACTAGAGCTTTACTCAACAGAATTTGTTTTCTCTCCTCCAACCAGGACATAGAACTGGAGAGTCGGTCCCACTTTGCCATAGTGAATGCCAAGACTGCAGCCCCTACTGTTTGTGTGAGTGAAAACTGTATGGAACAACCCGTAGCGCCTAGGGCTGCTCTGCTACAGGTGGTTTGTAGATGCCTGTTGTGCCAAACTCCTCCAAAACCCTGTTTTGTTATTGGTGTTCCTGTGTTTAGCTGCTGGTTCTGAGTCAGGCAGATAAAGTCCTTGAAGAGGTGGATTGGCTTATCAAGAAACTCACCAGTCTGGGATCAGACATGTCAGGTAATATAAGTGTTTCTCTTCTTAATGTTACACCTCTGTTAAAAACAAATGAAGATAGAGAGCAAAAAGATGTGGAGATTCTGAGGTAGCATCATCTAAGGGCAGGTTAAACTCTCCCTTGAGCTGGTTCCACATGAACCATGTAAGTGTTGTCACAAAGTCCCTCAAGTGATTACTTTTCCTGTTCCACACTGGCGCTTTGTGCATCAGACACAAAGGTGGTCTGCTGTGCCTCCCATCTGCATAACTGGATTCACTGGACACACATTCACAAGTTATTTATCTCTTTCTTCTAGAAGAGTCTTCTCAAGCATCTAACCAAACCCAGGCTCTGGAGAAAGGTGTAATTCTGCAGCTGGGAACTCTGCTGACAGTTTATCACGAGCTGGTACAGACAGCACTGCCTGCAGGGAGCTGTGTGGACACGCTGCTGAGAAGCCTCAGCAAGACATATGCAATTCTCACCTCCCTCATCAAACATGTGAGTGCTGCTGTGCTGACAGTGGGTTGGCTGGGATCTAAAAACTTCTTCCCTGTTGCAGCAAGCTCAGAGTGACCCCTGGCAGTAGCTATGCTCAGGACTGAGCTGTTGATCTCTTCCGTGAGTTGAATCCCTATTCCATTGGCTTTCATGCCCTCAATTTCATGACCTTTCTGAGCAGCAATAATTGTATTGGTGGAGATAAAGAAGAGCTTCTCTCCAGCTGAATTTGGCCATGCATGGCTTGGAGTGGTTCTTCCCAGTGTATCTTGTAGGTTCCTCTGCATGCAGCTGTGTGCCACACTGAGGGCACTAGTAGTGTTCTTACAGTGCTCAGCAATCCTGCTCCTGCCTCTCATTCCCATCTAGGGCTCAAAGCATTGGACATGGGGGAACTGGGCCACAAGAACAGGCCAATGGAGCTGGTTTGAGACAAGGTGGTGAATGTCGTAGGTTATAGCAGCCATTGGGGAGGATAGTTCTTGTAAATCCTGCCCTCCCCACTGTGCCATTGAGTGAGCTGCTTTGAGCCCTGCCTGGAAATACAGGCTGCAGAATGGGAACAGCATCCCTAGAACAAACTCTCTCCTGTTTTTCTTGCAGTATATCCACGCTTGCCGCAACACCTCAAATACGATTCCAGGAAGGCTGGAAAAGCTGGTGAGTGTGAGCCAATTGCTGGAGGAAATGGCTCATTGCCTCGAGATAGGAGTAACACCGACCTCTCTGCTTCCTTCTTTGCAGGTGAAGCTCTCAGGTTCCCATTTGACCCCACAATGTTACTCATTCATTACTTATGTACAGGTAAGGCCTAAATTAACGAGCAAAATCACAGTCAGTCAGTCTGATGCTGAGTGGTGTATCAGCTGCACTGCATGGGCACCTTTAGGGATTATTAATCTTCTTGACATGACTTGAGTTTCTTATAGTTCAAGCTTTACTGTGTCAAATAATAGTATAAGGCATTTCAGCACCATTGGGACTGAGCGTGCTGATTTCTGCTTGAGCAGGGAAGGAAGAGTGTTTGAAGAGCTGAGGTTTAGTTTGGTGGGAGTTTTTTTGATGAGATTAATACTGCTTTTAACCACAATGGCAAATAAAGGTCAAGAACACTGCAGTCATCACAGTGTAAAGTGATGTGGGTGCCAAAGACTGCAGTGCTGAAGACTGGATTTAGCTGCTTGAAGAGGAATTGGGTATGTGAGTGAGGGCCACAGGAACTGTACAGCAGGCATGGTGGGGAAGCTGTATCTTCTCACACACATTTCTCAATGTATAGGTCACGAAATTAGCTTTTCTTTCCTTCTTTTTTTGAGATTCCCAATTCCATCTTTCTTTTATCACCCCCTTTCTCTCATCAAGGTGGTAATGCTGTTAGCTAGTCAGAGCAAGTAATTCTCTGGCCTTACTTAGCTGGCCTTTCTTCTTGCCTGCTTACCTTCTAATGCCACATCTTTTGGCATCCTCCCTCAGAACATCCACAGTGAGAGTTTAAGCTTTGCAGAAGAGAAGAAAAAGAAGAAGAAAGAGGATGAATCTGCTGCAGTCTCCACAGTCATGGTAAGATAGACTTACTCACCATTAGCACATGGGCTGCAGTTGAACTTGGCATCATACCTCAAGCTGTGTGTTACCTGAAGTGGCTTCTTATAGATCACCAATGACAAATTGTCATTTGGGCCTTTAAGTGAAAATCAAATTGAACCTGCCTTAACTTCAGAGAGAAGTCTAAGAGAACCCAAGCAAACATTATAAAAACCAACCACACAATAACAGTAACAACAAAGCCACCTTCACTAAACACAGCCTAAAAGCTCACACACATGAAATAAAGGACAACCTTGTCATGTTCATTGTTCTAAATCTGATCTATCCCACCCTGTTCTGCATTTCAGGCCAAGGTGCTTCGGGAGACCAAGCCCATCCCAAACCTGATTTTTGCAATAGAGCAATATGAGAAGTTCCTTATCCATCTCTCCAAGAAATCAAAGGTAAGGTAAAGCAGAGTTCTTCTGTGACCAGAACTAAGTGGGATCAGTGGCTGGATAGAGGTTATGGCTGGGCTGCCTTTTAAAGTCTCTATTAATGCTCAAGGATCTCACATTTCTTGCAGCCCTTGTCCAAACTCATGGCCCACTGACTTGCCACCACACTGGTACCTGCAGGTATCAATGGTAATAGTGCCTGTGACCTGACCTCAGATGGTTTCTGGTTGAGCAGAAACTTCCACAGCTTCACCCCCTTTTTTTGCCTGTCTATAAGCAAGAGAGAAATGTACCATGATGAGGTACTACATAACAGTAACTGGTAATCACTTGGCTTTTAGGAAAACAAATGGGCCACTGGATCACATGGGGGCAGGAGGATTTTCACCTGCCTTTTGCTTCAATCCTGTGTTATTGCTGTGATGGACTCAGTCCCAGTGCTGTGCAAAGGACTAGGCAGGGTGGAGAACTAAACAAAGATGCTGCTGGCATAATGTCCTCTCCCCCTGGTTTCACCTTGGTTTCTGCAGGTGAACTTGATGCAATATATGAAGCTAAGCACCTCCAGGGACTTCCGCATCAATGCATCCATGCTAAACAGCACGCTGCAGGAGCACAGCACAGAGGATGCTGAAAATGAGCCCAACAATGACCAGGTCAGAACTCATTTATCTGCTTTTACCAACAGCTTTACCCCTCTTCTGAGGCCAGCTGTCTGCAGGTACATGTGAAATCAGGGAATCTGTATCAGCGAGATCTAACCCAGGGAAGACAAAGGAGTGAACAGTCTGGCTATGATCCTCAACACTCCAGCCGTCTGCCTTGAGTGACCTTTATCTCCATGCACCAGATGTCTGTATCTCTGGGCTTAGGAAGTGAGACTCTCCTCAGCAAGCAGAGAGGTGTCAGTGTTACCTCTGAGGACCTCCTGCCTGCCCAGGATCAAATGTTTGTGCATGATGCAAAGTGGTTTTGCATCCAGGTTGACTTCTGTAGATAAGCAGCTGGCAGGACAAACACTGCAAAGCATCATAATCCTCAGACCCATCTCTACTAGATAGTGTTGGTGAAGGTAACACAACCTGTGCTGGAGAAAAGGAAATAAGCCATTTACGTAATTGATTGTCCAGTTTTTTATTGGTGGTTTTGCCCATACTTTCCTGAGTGCTTCAACAAACCAAAACCCAGCACAAGCAGTCCCTGTCCTGTGCCATTGATAACTGGTCTAAGTTCCAGCATGAACCGAGTAAAGTCCACAGGGAAAGTCTCAGTGGGTAAGAGGAGTCCCATATTCAGGCCATATTGTTAGGAGGAAGAAGAGCTAAATCCCATTCTGCACATCCAAGTTTCTTGCCTTAAGCAAACTTTCCCTAATCTCTATCACACACAAACAATCACAGTCTGTACTTCTTTCTCCCTCCCCTCTCCAGAGCAACACAGCAGAGCAGACAGATGAGAACCAGGAACCCAAAAAGAAGAGACAGCGAAGAAAATGAAGCTTGGGGTTGCTGCTGCTGCCTCCTTCCACAGCGCCTGGTCTGGTCTTGGAGAACTGCTTGTATGGAGAGGATGGGTTATTGCTTCTCTTAGCAAATACTTACCACTTCTTCCTTCATGGCTGTGCAAGCATGCCTGGCCCCTGTCTCAGGTTTTATAGCTGGCTGCTGCTTTTAGAAGCGCCTCTGCTCTTCCAGTGTGCTGCTATCAACATCGTCCTTCTCAGGAGCACCCCTTCTTACAGCCAAAAACGAAACAGGGTGACCAGGATCAGTCCCTGCCAAAGATCTCCTCCTGAAGGCCAGTGGGGCTCTGGCACGCAGGCTGGACACTTATCATTGTGGCTCTCTGGCGTCATCACTTCTTCTCCAGCGAACCTTTGGTTATTTCAATTAGCTGATAGATATCCAGAGCTTCTCCTGGAAGACAACGGGACACTCAGTTCCCTGCATGCTGCAGTACACTCGGAGCCTGTGTAACATGACAGCAACCGTCACGATGTGCTTTAGTTCAGCTCTCAATTTATTCCAACTTGTTTTGGGTGGGGGTGTGAAAGCAGGAACCAGCACCAGTAGGAAGCAGGAACCAGCACCAGTAGGAAGCTGGAACCACAAACAGTCCTGCCTTGGAGTGGAAATTGCTGCTGTCACCTCTCCAGCATCCTCAGGTAAAGCAGGTTTTGCTGTTAGGTTGGTGTTGCCCCTTATGTCATGCACTTGTTTAATTTGCCTTGCTCTTGGTGAGAACAGAAGTGCCCTTTTTTTGCCCACAGAAGTGCACTTTTTGCCCACATAACATGAGTCCTGTTACCAAAAGCACCCTTTTCCTGTAAGGCTCCTAATAAAGTTTACCTAAGGTGGAGTGTCTGATGTGTCCAAGGACAGAATGACTGCTTATGCCAAGTGCTCCGAGCTGAGGAGGGATGTGCAGAGGGCGTTACAGAGCAGTTGGGTCACACAAACACTGCTCACCTTGCGGGATGCCGTATTTCTTCTCCATCCCGGTTGGATTCGATGGCGTCGTGCAGCTCATGGTCACCTCCTTCCTTAAGCACTGGTCAATGTCCACTGTGCTGAAAAAAGCCACTGACTGGGGCAGGTCCTGCAGGCCCAGTTTGTAGGCAAACATGCACCTGCAACAACAAGAGACCCAACGCATCACTCTGAGCCTTGTCACACCTGGGTCTGAGCAGCCACAGCTTCACTGGGCAGGTTACTGTGTGCCCACGTCACTCAGGAGCTGCAAAACAAGGTGCTTTTAAGCACTGGGTAGCAGGAGGGTCAAGTAGTGCTACAGTGGCTGTGGGAGGAACAGAGTCACTGCTCTTTGAGCCTCCTCATAGAGCAGGAAGAGCCCAGCCCTCGCTGCTGGCTAATCCTCCAGGCCGAGCACAGGCTGGGTTTTCCCAGCAGGAAGCCCTGTGCTTGCAGGAGCTGGCACAACGGCAGGAACCTGGGGGTGTCTGCCCCGCTGTGCCCGCTGCACTGGCACAGGAAGGCTGCTTGCTCTGTCCCTGCCTCACACAGGAGAAAACAGCCAGGCTTGGGCCAGCTCCCATATAACCAAACACCCCCCACAGCGCTGGGAAGGGGATTTGGCTGTGCCAGAGGCGACTGAAGAGAGCCATTTGAGGTCAAGAGCTTATCTTTGCATGGGGCAGGGAAGCAGCAGGAACACTCTATGCTGTAGAAGAGGCATCAGTGCTGGTGCTCACAGCAGAGAAGCCATTGCCTGAAGGCCAGGGGGAGACAAGGGATGGGAGTTCAGTCAAGGCCAAGGGCTGCTGCCATGCAATGGCCACAGACCTGATGGGAGCAGGTGATGTGCTCGCATCCCAGCAGAGCAGAATGACAGACCCCATCCCTGCAGGAGCCAAAAGCCAACGCTATCCCCCTCCTGCCAGCACATTATCCCTGGAAAAGGAAGCCGAGCTCCATCGATAGCCACTCACATCCCACATGAAGGAATTACAACCTGCAGCGCTGCCAACGTCCCTTAAGCAGAAGCAAGCTCCTCTGCACCAGCCTGCTGCAGGCACAGCCTCTGCTGCCACCCCAGCGCTCATCCCCAGGGTCACATCTCACCTCGTGAGCAGGTTGGTGATCTGCAGGGCCAGGGCTGCCCGGTACCGATCCTGCTCCTGCACCAGGTAGCGCACCTCGTCGTGGATGCTGATGCAGAAGCGCCCGTTGATGTCGAACTCCTCAAAGAGCCACTTCATGGCGACCAGCATGAGGTGCAGGTAGTCAACAGCAGAGCTCTGCACCACCCAGTTCACTCTGCTGGTCAGAAACTGGTGAAAGGAAACACACGGATGCTAAGACAGCACTGGGGTCCAGATAAAGGAGATCTCCTGTGAGAAGTCTGTTAATCTCAGGGTTGTTGCTGGCATGCAGACAAAAGGGGCAATGGGTTTCCTGCATGGCTCTGAGAGCCTTCTGGGTCTGCAGCATCCAAGAAGGCCTGAACATCTCATCACTCAGCAGCACAGAGCCACATCCTTACCTCCCCCTTGGCCACGGCAGGCTCCAGAGCCCTGCTGATGTGACAGCCCAGCACCGGGGTCTGTGGGGAAGGGGACAGGGCGATGCTCTCCAGCTTGTTGAACATCTCCGACTCCGTGCCTCCAGCCCACACTCGCTGCTCCACCACGTTCCACTTCTTCCTCCGGGACCTGGCAGGGCAGAGGGGGAGCGGTGCTGGGAGCATGGCCGGAGGCTGCAGGCCCCATTTGAGAACCTCAAACACTGCCCCCAGTTTGGAGCAGCCTCCTGCTGCTCACTGGATTGAAAGTCCCAGATCAAACCTGCTCTGCCCTGGGCAGCAGGAAGAGAGGATCAGGACCATCCAGCCCCATTTCCCTCCTCTGCCCATGGGGCTGCAGCTCCCTCCGCCTCACACCAGAGCTGTGCATGACCCTAGCATCTCACCCCTTTGTGGCTTCCTTCTGGATGCGCTGGACATCCTGTGCCGACACCGATCCATCCTCTGCCCTGTCCACAGCCAGCTCCAGCTTATTCACCAGCCACTCCCCATCCTCAGAGAGGTGAAACCTGCAAGGGACGAGCGCCCTATGGTATCCCATGGGAACACCACCACCATCCCCATCCCTGCTCACCCCCGGGGGCAGCACCCACCTCCGGACACCCTTGGTGACCGCATACATCTGCTGAGCCTTCTCCCGCGCCTGCTGCTGCGTGAGCCGATGGTTGAACTGCATCAGCAGCCGCTCGGCAAAGGGCTGCCCGGCCCCATAGATGCGCCCGTAGTTGAAGACCTTGGCGTGCTCCCGGCTGATGCCCACCGTGGCGGCAGTTTTGCTGTGCAGGTCCGTGCCGTTGCTCTTCTTGCCCTGCAGAGTCATCCACCCGAAGGCCGTGCAGCCTGTGGGGAGCAGAGCAGGGCTTGGGCACCGAACGGGGCCAGGCTCGGGGGTCACCCCACAGCCAGCGCCAGCCGGGTCTCACCGTGCATGCCCGCGAAGTGCGCTTCCCCCAGCACAGCAGCGATCCACAGCTCCTGCGAGTCCACGTCTGCGCCCACCAGGGAGTAGCCAGGAGGCACCTGGACCATGGCTTTGAGCTCGCTGCCCACCCGGTCGGCCTGCGGGACACAGCCCCTGGCTCAGCACAACCCCTGCATGGCTCTGTCCTCATCATCAGCATCCCCCATGCGCCTGAATTGTGCTCCCGAAGTCAAAGGGAGGCATCACCCACTTGATTACTGCCCCGGGCTTGTGGAAGAAGAGGGGGCTGGGGAAAGACACAGACCAGTGCTTTAGTGCTTTCTTCTTTTACCAAGCAGTGAAGCTCTGAAGCCTCTGCTGACTCCTTCCCCTCTCCCAAAGCCAAAGGACATCAGCAAGAGAAGGGCCCCAGCACCTCAAACCCCAGCACCCAGCCCCAGCTCATTTCCCACCATTCCAACACACAGATCCCCACATCAGCCCGCAAGGACCGGAGCTGTACCCGAGCGTTGCTGGCCGTCAGCCACGTGGGCTCCACCGCCCGGCGGGTGATGGTCCCTGCGGTCACCACCTGCGGCAGGATGGCTCCGTAATCATCCTCTTCATTATAGTCAGGATGCCTGGCACAGAGGTGAGGGTGAGCATCACCCTGCCACAGCCCTCCCAGAGCAGGGCAGAGGGGACCACGGTCCCAGCCAGGGCTGTTCCCCCCCATACCTGGTCACCACGCGAGGCAGATCCCCCTTCTTCAGCCACACCACCATCTGCGAACTTGGGGGGACACGCAGCAGGTGAGATGCTGAGACCCACAGCACCTCCCCTGGCCACAGCGCAGCCTCTATCCACAGGGATGAAGGCAGCTCTCACCTGATCCGCTTGTGAGCGTTCCTCCAGAACGAGATCATTTTGTTGATCTCCAGGGCCCTGGTCCCGTGCGTGCGGCCCACAGCAGCCCGCAGGGTGCCGTCCTCCATCTGCGGCAGGAAGTCCTTGGCAAAAGGGCTGCCCACGTTGTTCTCATTCCCGTCCTTTAGCAGCAAAAGAGGAGCCAGGGCTCAGGATGCCACCAGCAAGGGTCTGTGCATCCTCCCACTCCAGCTACAGAGATGCATTTCCACCACCCATGGGACAAGACCACAGGGGTCCCGGGAGAGCTGCAGTGACAGGCAAAGGGACACGGCTATGCAGCAGGACTGCTTACCTTGTGAGGCAGCTTGAAGAACCAGCAGCCGGGGATGTTGACGTCGTTGTAGGGACCATTGCCGTGGTGGTACGAGGGCTGGCTCCTCGGCTGCGCCGGCTCAGGCACCTCCTCCTGCAACCAGCGATGCGAGGTGATGCTGGGAACACTCCCGGGCATGGCAGGAGCGGGGATCAGAGGAAAGAGGGACCAATCCATCACCACATCCCACAGGAAAGCCCCTTTACCTCCCCCAGGCTCTGGTCTGCTCTACCCGTTTTCTCCTCCACGTCCACCTCCAGCTGGCTCAGCTCCTCTGCCTGCAGCAGACAGACCATGGGGAAGCCAAGTCAAGCACCAGCTCTATGGTGATTTTACACGTATTAAAGGAAATCTACTTCCAGCCCCTAGAGCCACACATGGGGCTGGTTTTTACATGCACACACAGGAAAAAGGGCAGCCTCGTATCTCCTTCCTATTCCCTCCATCCCTTCCTTCACCTTCTGCCATATCGTGCTGTCATCCATCACCAGCAGCTCATCCTCCATAGCAGCCTGCAGCCCCTGCGGCTGCTCCTTGCCTTTCTCCAGGCAGTGCTGCCTGTACAGGCTCTCAATCACCCTGGCACGGGAGAGGGCAGAGTTCGCACACACAGAGGTCCCAAAGCTCCAGGGAAGCACTCAGGGCGCTCCCAAACTGCTCCATGGGGCAGCCCCACCTTGGCACCCCGCTACCTCCCCCTTACCTGTGCGGGCAGGACGGACCCTCCTCTTCCGAGGGGGCTGCTGGCAGGTTGTCCTGCCGCCCTGGCACCAGGTAGCCCCATCCGTGCTTGTCCGAGTAATGGAGGGGGAACCCATCCCAGACCAGGCGCATCAGCTTCGGCGTCACCCTCATCTGCAGGCTGATGAGGCTGGGGCCCGGCACCCAGCCCGGCTCCCCCAGGCGCAGGCACAGCTTGCGGTACCAGCTGGGGAGCAGCAGGGATGGGTCAGAGCACACAGGGGATATCCCCCTTGGGGATACCCATGGCCCCCAACTCACCCCGGGTGTCCCGGCAGGTGCTGCAGCCTCTTGGGTTGCAGTGTGACCGTCTCCTTGAGGCGCTGCAGGCACACCTGGCTCGCAGCCTTCAGCTCCTCATCCTCGCCAGGGGGACCAGGGTCTGGTGGGGCAAGGAGGAAGAGCTGGCAGAGTCCACTGTGCCACCCTGCTATGTGGCCCCACACGGGGAAGCAGGCACATGGTGCTTCACACTACCAGCACCAGCAAACCACGTCCCTTCATGGAAGGGTGGCCCTTGAGCATCCCTCATCCCCTGTGCTCACCCTCCTGCCAGTCCTGCATGGACCCCTCTGCACCCATCGCTGCCAGGGAGGTTTTGCTGTTGTTATCCTGATCCTGATCCTTCTTCTTCTTCTTCTTCACCGGATTCTTCTTCTGCTTAAACTCCTGCGTGTCCCACTCGAGATCCCAGAGCCAGGGGTCATCCTTGTACCTGCCAACACACCACTGCCACCACGCAGCTCTGCTCCCATCCCCAGTGCCCACCCATGATTAAGGGAGTGGAGCATCTCCCTTATGAGGAAAGACTGAGGGAGCTGGGTCTCTATAGTTTGGAGGAGATTGAGGGGTGCCCTTATTAGTGTATATAAATATATAAAGGGGGAGTGTCACGAGGATGGAGCCAGGCTCTTCTCAGTGGCAAACAATGATAGGACAAGGGGCAATGGGTACAAACTGGAACACAAAAGATTCCACTTAAACTTGAGAAGAAACTTCTTCTTAGTGAGGGTGACAGAACACTGGAACAGGCTGCCAAGGGAGATTGTGGAGTCTCCTTCTCTGGAGACATTAAAAACTCGCCTGGACACGTTCCTGTGTAACCTTATCTAGGTGTTCCTGCTCCAGCAGGGGGATTGGACTAGATGATCTTTTGAGGTCCCTTCCAATCTCTAACATACTGTGATACATACTGTGATACATAGCCCCCCATGGTCTCCATCCTGTGAGCAGCAGGACCTGCACCCATGGGTACCTGTCCTCATGCAGCAGCTGGCAGGCATCATTGGCCAGGTTCATCAAGGACTTCTTCATCTCCTTCTGCAGCTCCTCATAGATGCCCTGAGCATCATCCAGGTACCTCTTCCAGTTCCCATTGACCGGCAGGTAGGACACCCCCATCTCCAGCATCCCTGCAAATGTCACAGGGTGGGGGCACCTACAGCCCAAAGTAGCAAGGAATTAGACATCTGCTGGAGGGGATTTGCCCTATGACAGACATGAATGTCCCTCCACCCCACACAACCCTCGATCCTCTTCTCTTTAACCCTGCCTGCCCTGGACATCCACTGCTGCCCTAACACCCACCCTGTGCAATAACCCCAAAGCTGCATCACTCCGAGGTGCCTCACCTCCTGCAGCCACTCTGTGCTGCTGTTTACCCCTCCTCACCTACAACACAGGGATCTGAAGTCCCTCCTGAAAAGGGGTTCAGGGCCCCCAGTCTCCTGCCACCATTCCAAGGATCAGAGGAGCCGTATCCCAACCCCAGAGGGATCCCCCTGCAGCCCCTTGGCCACCACCACCAGGCTGAGCTGGGCAGTTCTCACCTCTCCATGAAGAGCGGCAGCTGCTCCTGGAACACCTCATGGGTGACCTGGACATCACGGGCACAGTAGGACATCAGCTCCTGCGGGCACAGGCAGGTGAGGGCAGGGAACGCAGCCACCCCTGTGCCAGCGCAGGGCACAGCGCTGTGGGATGGTCCCAGCTCCATGCACACAAAGGGTAACAAAATGGGAATGACCCCATCAGCTCCTCCCACCCTGCTCCTGCTGCCCATAGGGATGTTGGGATGGAGCATCTCCCATATGAAGATAGGCTGAGAAAGTTGGTGCTGTTCAGCCTGGAGAAGAGAAGGCTGCGTGGAGACCTCATAGCAGCCTTCCAGTGTCTGAAGGGGGGCTATAGGGATGCTGAGGAGGGACTCTTCATTAGGGACTGTAGTGATGGGACAAGGGGTAATGGGTTAAAACTGAAACAGGGGAAGTTTAGATTGGATATAAGGAGGAAATTCTTCCCTGTTAGGGTGGTGAGGCACTGGAATGGGTGCCCAGAGGAAGTTCTGAATGCTCCATCCCTGGCAGTGTTCAAGGCCAGGTTGGACAGAGCCTTGGGTGAGATGGTTTAGTGTGAGGTGTCCCTGCCCGTGGCATTAGAACTGCATGATCTTAAGGTCCTCTCTTAACCCAACCCATTCTGTGACTCTAAGGTCACCCCACCTGGAAGTGATTCCTGATGTCGGCCATGGTCCCCTTCACAAAGACCTCCCGCGCCTCCTTCTCCAGCGGCTCCCCACCGACATAGAGTGCGTGCACATCTGCCAGGTTGTTGATGCTGCTGACGTGCACCCACTCCCACGACGTGATCTGTGCACACAGTGCAGGACAAGGACCACACGACATCAGGCAAAGGATGCTGCTGCTGCTGCTGCCCCATTTTAAACCAAGACCTCCTCATCCACAATGCCCTGAGAGACCTTTACCCACCAGAGCTGCTCCAACAGCTCCCTCTTTGCCAGTACAGAAGGGACTGGTCCCATTACAGGACCAAGCAGCCCCTGCCACTGGCTCAGCTCCCTTACTCACAGCCGGCCCTTCCATTTTGCTGCGTGTTTTCTTGATGTGCTGCTTGACCTGCTGCAGCCCCTTCCTCTTGCCGTGCTTGGCGGCCATCCAGAGGCTGCGCTGGAAGCCCGTCAGCCCCGAGATGGCCATGTGCATGCTCATGGTGTCCAGGAAGCGCACCCGGGAGCCCTGCAAATGCACCGGGGAGGGGAGAGAGATGGTTTGGGAGATGCTGGAAGAGAAACGTGCTGCCAGCAAGCACCGCTCTCTTCCTGCAAGACCCTGCTTTCATCAAGGCACCCCTCTTTTGAGAGCCAAGAGCACCCCCAGTGCAGGCTGCCAGCTGCAGAAAGGCTCCTGCCACATCCCCATCTGCACGCCTGCAGCCTCCAGCAACCTTATGGGGTGCACGAATATCTCCCTATGAAGGGACCCCAGCTCAGCCCGCTCTGCAGGACAAGCGAAGCACAACCCTGGGGAATCTGTGCGGAACAAAACAACCCCAAAGAGGCAATGCAAAGGGTGACAAGCTGCAGCTGAACAGAGTTACCTGGATGAGGTACTGCTCCTTGATGAACGCCCGGTCAAAGGCCACGTTGTGCCCCACCACCACTCTCTCCGGCCAGTCCCGCCTGCCAGCACAGCCAGCGCCTGCCGGGCTCTCCAGGGGAATGAGGTCGGGCAGGGTGAGGTGGCTGGACCAGGAGTAGCGCTGCTCCAGCAGCCGCCGGCTGCACCACGAGTACCTGCGGGGGACACATTGCATCCCATAGGAATGAAGCAGGAGCTTCCTGGACCAAAAGCACCCACTGAGAGCAGGATCCCACCCAGGGCAGGGGGGTGACTGACCCATGGACACACAGCACACACCCCAGAGCCACACTTTGAGGCTTCACTGTTATCCCCACAAGCCAGCAGTGGTTTGCAGGAATCATAGAACAGTTAGGGTTGGAAAGGGCCTTAAGATCATCCAGTTCCAATCCCCTTACCATGGGCAGGGGCACTTTACACTAGACTCTGCCCAAGCTGTCCCTGAACACCGCCAGGGACAGAGCATTCACCACGTCCTTGGGAAACCCATTCCAGTGCCTCACCACCCTCACAGTAAGAACTTCCTCCTTACATCCAACTTAAACTTCCCCTGTTTCAGTTTGAACCCGTTACCCCTTGTCCTGTCGCTACAGTCCCCAATGAAAGACCCCTCTCCAGCATCCTTGCAGCCCCCTTCAGACACTGGAAGGCTGCTGTGAGGTCTCCCCAAAGCTGTGTGCGTCCCCCCAGCATCACCACCGGCCACACATCTCACCATGCGTGCGGTGAGACCGCCACGGCCAGCGTCGGGCAGTGTCCATCAGCCACGCACACCTCCACGTCCAACACCACCGCCCGCTCCTCGGGGAACTCCACAGCTTCCTCCTGCCCCCCAGGGCCGTAGCGGGTCCAGCCGAGCTGCCATGCCCACCGCTCGGGCACAGGGGGCAGCTCGCACCGCAGCAGCTCGTTGGCCGCCTCCAGGTAGGGCAAGCTCTGCTTCTGCGCCAGGAGGCGGAAGTGCTCGTCGATGTTGTCGCCGTACATGCGGGGCAGCCGCAGGTCCACGTCGGGCAGCGTGGAGGTCTCCTTGCCCCACAGGTCGTGGCGCTGCAGGTGCTCCACGCTCCTCTGGATGTCCGCGGAGGAGTGGTGCACACGGGCCCCGCGGAAGATCTGCTCGTGGAGGCTCCTGGACAGCATCTGGATGTTGAGGGGGTTCATGCGCCGCTGGTCCTTGCCCGGGGTCTGCCCCGGGGCGTCCTCCGGCAGCGGGCGGCGGGCAGAGGAGCTGGAGGCGCAACAGCCCCGCACTGAGCGCCTCCACAGCAGGCGCCGCATCCTGCCCCGGCCGGACCTGCGGGAGAGCAACAGGGAAGGGTGAGCGCAGTGATGCTGCGGGGCTGCCCTGCACATCCCCCTCCCCAGGGCATTCACACCGTGCAACAAGTCCCTGCATGCACGCTCCTTACATAGCCGAGCACCCCCTTGCACAGCCACACCCCTCCTTACACAGCCGAGCACCCCTTTACTGAGCCATGTACCCCTTTACACACCTGCGCACACCCATTTCTCAGCCATGCACACCCTTTACACCGCCATAACCCCCCTTGCACAGCCGAGCACCCCCATACTCAGCCATGCACACCCCTTACACAGCCGAGCACCCCCTTTAGACAGGCATACCCCCTACACACAGCCGAGCACCCCCGTTACACAGCCATACCCCCTACACACAGCAGAGCACCCCCATACTCAGCCATGCACACCCCTTACATAGCTGAGCACCCCCGTTACACAGCCATACCCCCTACACACAGCCGAGCACCCCCGTTACACAGCCATACCCCCTACACACAGCCGAGCACCCCCGTTACACAGCCATACCCCCTACAAACAGCCGAGCACCCCCATACTCAGCCATGCACACCTCTCATACAGCCGAGCACCCCCTTTACACAACCATACCCCCTACAAAGAGCCGAGCACCCCCGTTACGCAACCATACCCCCTACAAACAGCCGAGCACCCCCTTTACACAGCCATACCCCTACACACACCAAGCACCCCCATACTCAGCCATGCACACCTCTCATACAGCCGAGCACCCCCTTTACACAACCATACCCCCTACAAAGAGCCGAGCACCCCCGTTACGCAACCATACCCCCTACAAACAGCCGAGCACCCCCTTTACACAGCCATACCCCTACACACACCAAGCACCCCCATACTCAGCCATGCACACCTCTCATACAGCCGAGCACCCCCTTTACACAACCATACCCCCTACAAAGAGCCGAGCACCCCCGTTACACAGCCATACCCCCTACACACACCGAGCACCCCCACACTCCGCACACCCGTACCCGCACAACCACGCACCCCGCTCCTCACGCTCGTACCCGCTCCCGACGCACGCCGTCCGCGACCGGGCCAGGGGGCGGATCCAAACCCCGGCGCCTGTGGGAGCTTCCGGCCGCGCTGACGTCCCGTCCCGTCCCGTCGTCCCCCCCCCCACCGGGCTGCGCTCATGGTACAGTCCTCCGGGCGTCGACTGAGTACGGCGAGGAGGAAATCTGACGCAGAGGCGGCCGCGTGGCCTAATGGATAAGGCGTCTGACTTCGGATCAGAAGATTGCAGGTTCGAGTCCTGCCGCGGTCGTAGCTGGAGCTCGCTCGGGGGCTGTCTGTTTTGCTCCGCCCCCTCGTGGTGTGGCCTTGGGACGGGAACCGACGGCGCCACGGGGCTGCTGCTTCCCGTTACCGGGGTCACCGCGCGCAGCCGTCGTGTTTTGCATCGTGTTTAACGGGAGAGGACAAAACGCAGAGTGCGGCTGCGTACGTGGAGCCGGAGACCGACCTCGACTGTGACACGAGCGGGGCGGTCACAGGCACAGCCGTGGGACCGGCAGTGCGGGGTCTGGTGTCCGCCACCCTTCAGGCTCCAGGGTCTCAAGGGTCGGGGCGAGCGGTGGGGTGCAGGTCCCCTCGCCTGGGGTGCGTGGGGACAGCAGCGGCCTGGTGGGGACAACTCGGTGCGTGGCTGGAGAGTGAAAGGTGTCTGCAGGGTGCGGGTGGCAGGCATAGGGTGCGGGGAAGGGGCTGCGGGTGCAGTGGAGGGGACCAAGAGGTGAGTGCTGGCGGTGGGTGCGGGCTCCCTGCCCTCCGCACGGACTCCTGTGTCCGGGAAGGTGGCTCCCGGCAGAGCCCAACGTGCCCTTGGCACTGCGGGGTACCGAGCCGTGCCAGGCCGAGACGTACCGCGCCGGGCACAACCGCCAGGTGGCGCTGCGGGCCCGCCGGTGCCGGCCGGGCTGGGCCGGGTCCCCCGGGACCGGGGCCGTCGGGGCGCTGGTACCACTCCCGCTCCATCCCTCCCCGCTCCCTCCCGCTGGGCACCGGGCAGGGGGTACAGGGACCTGCGACCCCTGCCTCGACACCCTCGGTCCCTGCAGAGCTCCAAACCCGGGGTGCACCCCTCTAAATCAGCACAGCTCCGGTCCCTCGGAGGGTTTGGGGGGGGCAGCTATACCCCCTCCTCTCCGTACAGGCAGCACCAGCATGGGGGGAGTGGTGAGGAACGCACACACACACCACGATGCTGGTTTTTGCCGCTTCGAGTGCATTTCACAGCCCCTGGGCCTCCCAAAATACCCACAGCCCGCCAGCCTGAGAGTCAGGTGTGGGGACAGCGCTTCACCCTGTTTCATGCAGCAGCAGAAGGTACCCGCTGCCTGAGCTTTGGGGGATCCAGGCCTATGGGGTATCCCCGTGCTCAGTCCCCCATCCCGGTGGCTTGAGGTTTCCTGGTCTTGCAGTGGGAGCTGGGGGTGCGGAGCCAGTGGGGGGGATGCTCCAGGGCTGGGGTGCTCGGAGTAGGAGAGAAAGAGCCATGAGCTGCCCTGGGATGAAGCAAGGAAAGGCTTGGGGACGCCCTGCCCCTGGCTGGCTCTGGGGAAGGACCCGGGTGCGGGGGACTTGTTCTTCCCTTCGGTACGTTGTGTTAACGCTGATCTCCTCTCGTTTGGGGTCTTTGGTCTGTTTCTTTTTAGCTTGATCGCAAAACAAATGAATAATAATAATAAAAACATACACAAAGAAGCCCCATTAAAAAAAAATCCCCCCTTCAAGGGAAAAAAAAAAAAGGAAAAAGAAAATAATAATTCTCGCTGAAATTGTTGACGTTGATGTTGATGACAACGAGCCCGTTGCCTTGTCCGCAGCAGGACCGGCCGGGGCTGCCTGTTCCTCACCCGGGTGCGGGCAGGGAGGTTCGGCAAGGCAAACACCAATAAACCACCACCATGCAAAAAACAATAATCCACCACCGTGCAGAAATAACCGAAATAACCCCCAAAACCGCTGTTTCATCAGGACTGATTGCAATGCATGAGTCGGGGTGAGATGCGTAAGGTCTTCTATTTCTTTTTCTCCTAGGTTCTTTGTCTTTCTGTCGGGGACATATCCCCATCCCGGTGCGCCCCGTCGGGCTCTGGTACGAGCCGTTGGATATTCACACACACACACACACACACCGCCTTAGAGACCCCGTTCCCCGCCGGAGGCTCGGTGCTGTCGCTCGGATAATGGGGCGGTGGGACTTTGTTTAACCCCGTTGCCCCCGGGGCCAGGGGTCAAGGGCTTCCTCTTCCCCCTGGGGCACGGCGAAGAGGCCGCCGCTCGCAACGGGAGGACCGCGGCGGGGAGGGAACGGGCTGCGGCCGCTGCTCCCCTTCTCCCCACCGCGGCCCTACCGGTGCGACCAGCGTGGGACCCCGGGAACCCCCAGCGCTTCCCGACAGCGAGGCGCTGAGGCGGGCTCCGGGTGGTGGATTGGGGTACCAGGGGGCGGCCAAGCATCACCCCGAGGCATGGGGGAGATGCGGAAATCGGCCCCTGCTCTCCAGCATCCCTCAGGTCTGCCTTCTTCCCCAGATGGAGCAAGACCGTTTTTAACGGGGGGGCGGTTTTAACGGGGTTTTACCCCTTCTCCGCAGGCAGAGGTATCCCAGCCGCCCGTCCGGGAGCCAAGAAACGGGAGAAACGGGCAATTTTTATAGGTGACGTACGGGCTTACGTGGGAATCCATGCCCAGCACTGCTCTTCTAGCTCTTTTTTTTTTTTTTCTCCTGAAATAACCCTTCCCTGCAGCTCGTACCCCCCTTTTCCCGCTTGCACCCCCTTTTCCAAGCTGGGGCTGCGGGAGACGAAGAAGGAAAAGGGAAAAGAAAAGCAACTCCCAATATCCCGCTATTTTTCCTGCTCGGGAGACGAGCCCCGGAGCTCCTGGAGTGAGCGATGGAGAGGGCGAGGGGAGGCGGGCGGGCGCCGGCTCCGAAGTGGAGGGGTCGGGGGTGGGATGGAGATGGGGGGGGAGACATGGGGGGGATCCTCCTTGTCGGGATTAAGGGAGAACCGGCGAGGGAGGGAGGCTGGCGGCACCGCGGGCATTCGAGGTAAGTCCCCCGCCGGTGGTACCGGAGCCCGGGCGGTGCCGGCGCTGCGGGGTAGGGAGGATGCTTTTGGAGGAGCAAAGGAGCCCTGTCCGAGGGGGGGTACCAGGCCCGGAGCCGGGTCCTGCGGGCAATGAGAGGCCAGGGCTGCTTTGGCGGCTGCGGCTCCGGCAGAGATCGGTGCCGGTTATCGCAGGCTGGGGGCTGCAAGCAGCCCTGCCCGCGCCCTCGGGGCTTGGCCGGGGTCCCCCTGGGGCGAGCGGCCCACGGAGCCCGGTCCCGGCCCCCGGGGCTCCTCCCGTGCGTGTCTCAATTCGCTCAGGCTTGACTTGGCAATAAGCTCTCTCAATAGGGTGACAATAGAGCCCCGGTGGGACCCGAACAAAGAATTTGAAAGTAGTTAAATTGCAGGACACGTCCAGGCTGGGTGCTTGAATTAAAGAAAAAAAAAAAAGAAAAAAAAAGAAAAAAAAAAAAAAGAAGAAAAAAAATTCGGAGCAAAGCAAAAGGAGAGAGACTTTTCTTTGGGCTGGTGAGAAAATGCTCAGGGTAAAAGTTGGTTTGGCGTCTTCATTTCAGCGACAATGGAGCAGAGCTAATTCAATAGGAAACGCGGGGATTTTATAGTGAAAAGACCGCGGGGTTACACCGGAGTTAAGCTCTTGTGAATTAATTATTAGCGCAAATAAACTGGGGGGGGAGGAGGTGGGGAGTGCTCGGGAGGGAGTGTTGCGATTTCTTAATATTCTCCTTTTCGTGTTTAACGACAATGCCATCGGGTTTGCGACTCTGGGTGAGCGAAAGGGTTCCTCACCCTCCCCGCGACGAGGAGAAGACGCTGGGTTTACTCCTTTTCTTTCTTTATTAGACTTAATTTTCTTTAAA